GCTCTTTTTCCAAATTTGTCAACTTTTGCTTATTTTCTTCGATCTCACCAACTTACATCACAACATCAAAATCACACATCTAATTATTTATCAATTACATAAACATTACATCATTAATTATTTAATTAACCAAAAAAATACATCTTTATTAATAACAAATTAATTCTTAAACAAAACTATTAAATATAAACTACGCAAACGTGCATTGCACGTTGTTTGCACCTAGTGTGTGTGTGTGTGTGCGCGCGCGCGCATATATATTTCTTGGTATTAATTAAAATCCACGCTAATTCATGTATCGTATTTGTCACTCATCTTCATTTATGTATTTAGTTGTAATTCAAATACTCTTGAATGTATTTCACTATTTATATGCATATACAATAATTAACATTTATTTTCAAAAACTTGCATTTCTCTTATATTTAGATCAAAATAGTAAATGAAGAGTCATATATTACTTTCACGAAACTTATAAAACATTTCAAAATAACGTACAACACATGTTCACTTCAACTAGTTTTTATAAAAGTCAATTAAATTTATAAGTCTTATAAAATGTATGATCGAAAATAAGTTTGAGAAAAAAATGAGTTTTAAAAATTGGGACCAAATATGGTCTTAGTCCATGTATGGTTCAATTTTTTTCTCAAATTAATTGTTAATTATATTTTTTTCAGTAAAATAATTTTATACGTGGATCTATAATTTTTTAATATATTTTAATCATAAAATCTTCAAAAAATAACTTTTCGCATCATTTATTCTCAAAAAAATCTCTACCAAATGGAATCAAGGATATTTAATGTAATGATATTGCCATCATGATCACGAATAGCATTATTCATTCCGTTACATTGCAGCTATTACCTATAATTGAAAAATCGCTAATAATCAAGCCTGCATAGTTAAGATGCAGTGTTCTTATTGGACAATCTTCTCGTCAAAATTTCGATACTTTTTATTAGTAAATTGTAATGTGTTAATTTTTCACTAGTAACATCATATTTTATTAACATTTTAATATTTGTTAGCAATAGTTGAGATGTCTAACATTTTAGTAGAGGACTAGTACATAGAATACCTTATTGATATCTTATATTTTTAGATTGTATACTTGAAAATAATTTTGAATTGTAAACGATTTTGCATAATTATAAAATTGAAAAAGATAATTATTAAATAAAATAATACTCTGTGTACGTAAACAATTTTGCAAAATTATTTTACCTTTTGCGTTACCAAAATATCTTGTGAGGATCATGTAGGGGTGAACTTGGGGTATCCGATAAAGATATCTATAGTCCTTGAGTGTATTATGATTTGTAGTTCCTATTTTTTTCTGGTTGACTTGTGTCTTCAATCTTTCAAATAATTTAGAATATTTAGAGGAGAAGATTACATTTATGTTACTTTTTCCAATTGGTTTGTTTATATTTTGATACAGGAACGTTCTCGAGGCTTACATATACGTACATTCTTATGGTGACATGTACTCCACCTACAATTGGACAAAGCTACAGAACTGAATGGATTGGTAGATTTTGTTAATGAAGTGGTAAAACGTTTATTGTATCCTAGTAGTAGTTCTTCCATTCTTTTGTATGAGTGGTTTAGATTTAAATGCATTGCCTATTTGGTAGTTGGTATTGGGTTTTGAGATGTATTAAAGCCATAGGTTGTAAAGCATAAAATTGACAGTTGTGCTCATAATAACCAGTTTTCACAATAGATACATCTTAATGATAAAATTCAGAAAGTTCAAAATGATCAATGGCATACTTTGTTCAGATTATCAAGTGGTTGTGTAAGTTTACTCAGCATATATTTTTATTTCTCTTCTGAATTCTATAGAAAAATAATTAAGCGAACAGTTTTTTTCTTAGCGTGTCAAGAACTGAAGCAGAAAATGATATGCAAACTGGAAGACGCAAGATCATGCCACGAGTCAACATGCTACAATTATGGCATTTGTCTTGACGATAGAAGCATCTCAGTAATGATTATTAGGGTGCCTCCATCATCTGATTTCTAGTATCTTAAAGAACTCGTGTTCTTGAGGTTGAGATTTCTCTTACAACTCCGAGAGGGAATGATCTTAACCTTTAGTAATTTGAGATAATATAATGTTGTTGAAGAAATGAAAATATTGTAAAGACTAATCTCTGTGATATTTTTTCAATTGTGTGATTATCATGCCACCTTTCCTTTTAGAGTTATTTATAACATTATAAATATGGTCTTCTACATTGTAATAGAAACACAAGTTTACTATATACAACTTATAATATTCTAACTAAAGATAAATTAACTTTTTGGTGCCATTTTAATTTGAATTAGGCTGTTTGTACAGCCCGAGCTTCACAGCTCGGGTCACAGCACACACACAAACACGCGGACCCCGCCCTAAATGTGTGAGGGCTGTCACCCGTGTTGTCACCCGGGCTGTAGTTGTAGCAAGGTTCTTTTAATTTTCCCGTGTTTCAAATAATTGAGCTTTAGCATCATTGTTTAAAGCTCAATTATTTGTTACATAATCAATGATTTGGTTCCCTTATTGTATGATTATTCCCATATTTTGTCATGATAATGGCGCCTCACTATTATTAACTTTTAATTTTCAATCCGTTTCACGATTTAAATTGGAATTTGAGGAGAGAGAGACACAGGTTGAGTACATAAAATAAATAATCACACAATCGTTCTCTACTATGCAGATAAAAAAAAAAAAAAGCGATTTTGTTAGTCGGTACACTCAACATGAATCTTTATTTGCATTATCTGTATAGTTCGAATTGGATTAACATTTAAAATTATTGATCGAGGATAGTCTTTTAGATACCTTGTTTCACTAAGTTAAACTGATCTTGGCCACTCTGATGTTCTTTGGTGGCTATTCAGAAAATCGTATGAGAACATAAATTATGTCACTCTCCAAAATTCTTATAATTCGAAGCGTCATAAAAAAAATTTTCTTAGTTGGAGCTCTTTATGTTAACCAAAATAAATTGTAAATAATAAAATTTTGAATTTTGAAATATATAAAAATAATGGAAGATATGTGTCCATATAGACATTTAAAATTAATGATCGAGGATAGTCTTTTAGATACCTTGTTTCACTAAGTTAAACTGATCTTGGCCACTCAGATGTTCTTTGGTGGCTATTCAAAAAATCTCCTGAGAACATAAACTATGTAACGCTCCAAAATTTTAACATAAACTATAACATTCAAATTCGTACAATACAAAAAAATAGGGGTTTCGATGAAAATATTTGAAGCAAGAAAATATTTTTCAACTCTGCTTGACAATATTTTCGAAACTGACCCGTCGCAGTCTACTAAAACGAATATAACTTTTTCTCTAGGTAATATTTTAAGGAAATTCAAAAGAACACTATTAGAAGACTCGTAAATCTTTCAAACCCCGCTAATTTTACTCTAAAAAATGCACCATAACCCAAGTCATACAATTTTTAAATAGGAGGACGGAATCTGAAAATTCAATTCAGCAATATTAAACTCCGTGCATAGTCTATCCAACACTTTTAAATTATAGTTTACATGCAATTGTATATAAAAACTGGATAGAATAGACAATTAAACATATTAAAAGTGTCATCTAAGTGTTCATAAGAGATTTATATTAATTGGAAATTTACAAGAAAGTTAAAGAGCAGTGCAAATCCTCGAGTTTTTGCCACTATAGCTTGGCTATAAGCCCCGACGGTACCTCCATACATGGACTCACCGAGCAACTACAGAAAAACTTGAGAGGGTAAAA